CAGCCGGTACCTCCTTCCCAGGGAGGACAGCCTTTCTCCCTTCCAGTGCCTCCCTCAAGCACGCATGACAGGGTGCTTTGAGGTCTCCACAGAGAAAGGGTTAACATGCCCCTCTCCGAGACAGAGCCAGACACCCAACATGTCCTCCAACCCCCGACGTCCCCATGGATGACCCACCACACCCTCCTCGATCTCCTCTACTTGTGTCACCTCCCCACGTCCCCATAGCCACACCCAACGTGTCCTCCAACCCCCCGACGTCCCCATGGATGACCTACCAGACCCTCCCTGATGTCTCCACCAGGACCACCTCCCCATGTCCCCATGTCCATGACCAAAGATGGCCTCCAACCCCCCGACATCCCCATGGGTGACCCACCAGATCCTCCTTGATGTTCTCCTCCTGGACCACCTCGTTCCTCTCCCCACCCAGCTGTCCCCCACCCCCACGTGTCCCCCGGAGGTGACGGTGACCTACCAAAGCCCTCTTGAAGTTCTCCTCCTGGGCCGCCTTGGCCTTCTCCACCTCCCGGTCCCCATGGCCACACCCAACGTGTCCTCCAACCCCCCGACGTCCCCACGGGTGACCCACCACACCCTCCTCGATGCCCTCCACCAGGGCCACCTCCCCATGTCCCCATGTCCCCACCACCATGCCCAAGATATCTTCCAACCCTCCGACGTCCTCATGGGTGACCCACCACACCCTCCCTGATGTTCTCCACCAGGGCCACCTCCCCATGTCCCCACGTCCATGACCAAAGATGGCCTCCAACCCCCCGACATCCCCATGGGTGACCCACCAGATCCTCCTTGATGTTCTCCTCCTGGGCCACCTCGTTCCTCTCCCCACCCAGCTGTCCCCCACCCCCACGTGTCCCCAGGAGGTGACGGTGACCTACCAAAGCCCTCTTGACGTTCTCCTCCTGGGCCGCCTTGGCCTTCTCCACCTCCCCATGCCCCCACGTCCACACCCAACGTGTCCTCCAACCCCCCGACGTCCCCATGG